TTGTGGTTGTAACCTGCATTCATATTTAACCAAAACTCAAGTTAGCACCTGATGTGCTCATCAAAACAATTTAACTTGTTTCCTTGGTTAAAGGTCTTCCTTTATTTAGGCCCCATTGAAAACAACTAGCCCTACACCTCTGGCTGTTTACAGATATTTGCACATAAGGGCATTGTTCCTGGATGCAATGAGGAAAAGCTTTCTCTATGGCATTTTTGCTTGTCATGCAGCTGTTAAAAATGCAACAACTCCCATCTGAAGGGAGAAATTGGCAACCCTGAAATGTAAGGAATTCTTAAACTTTATTGGTAAAGCAAGTAAGCCACATTGTTAATAGACCGTGGGATAAAACCTGAAGAAATGGTGGGCTGTGAAAGCAGAGTGGAAGATAGTATAGACCCTGGAAAGAAGATAGAGTTAGCAGAAAATTTCACTCAGCTACCAAGACCAGGTTGCTGAGTTGTTGAACAAGCAGGTCAGTAAGTTGGTATTGTAATAAAGAAAGCTGGTAACTTCCAGCAGGGTTAGAAGCTAGGCCAAAGTTCATTCATAAGATTCAAGTAAGAGATGAAATATCCCACTAAGAGCCTAGAGTCTCTCCAAGAACAAGATTTCATAAATCAGAATAAACCAGGAACAATGAAGAAGCTGACAAAAATACATTATTCTTGGCAACCAGGACCTAGAACTGAAAGCAACTGAGTTCTATCAGAATCATGAAGGATCAACTTAAGCCCTTTTAGGGACCCTTCCCATGCAAAATTGTTACTCATAACCGGAATCTTACTCCCCTCAGTACTCTTTGTTCACAAGGACTCCTCCCTTTTACTCTTCAAATGGGCACTTCTGTATCTGGCAACCGTTAGCCTGCACTGTCAGATACCCCTATTTTCTGGAACTGGAAGGGATTAAGCTTCCTTCTGGAATCAGAGGCACTTTCTACACCTTGAGGAGGAAGTCCACATTCCTTGAGGAACCAGGATTCCCTGGTCATTCTCAAGAGCACAGTGCTCCTCAGAAAGCTCAAAGTGTCCCTCCAAACAGAATGCTGCCTTTCGTTATGATTTATAGCAGGAAATAAATTGTTAAGCAATGAGGGATTCTTGATAATTCTGCGATTACCAGATTTAGATTCAAATGGAATGTCCTGTACTTTTGGGAGTGATATAAAATATGGCTTCTGCCAAATGCAGAAACCTTAAAAAAAAAAGGAGGGGGGTAATGTATTGAAGAGATTTCCTGAGAATTATGGTAGGTACAGAAATAGATAGAGAACCAAGTATCAAGCTAAGTAGTGGAAGATTTGGGTGGAAAGCTCCTCTTCATGTAAACCCACCATGGAATTCACAACCATCAACTCAAACAGCTGTGATAGGGCAAATTCCTGGAAAATTAAGCTGTCAATAACTATTCATTATAATTAATGCTGTGCAGGAAATGTTCCTGTTCTCTTGTAACCTTTCCATCTTTTTCTTGTTATCCGTTATGAGAAATAGGGTATCAAAAGATAAGTGGAAGCCTGAAAAAAGTCAGAAAGCTTCTGTGGTTGTGTAAGTTCCAAAGCACTTCTTCAAAACAGGCACAGCCTTAACACACAGACACTACACACACACACACACACACACACACACACGCTAGGAAGTAAGTCTCAGGAACTGTGTCTGAATGATGTCCTAAACCTAGAAGCTTGGTTAACAAGCATTCATCTGAATCTTGTTTAAAGTGTTGCATACGATGAGAAGTATTGTATGTGCTCTCCTGAATGAAGTTTTTTGGCTTAATATTCATGCAAATGTGGGTCTTAATCCACTCAATTAAGGTACAGTGCCCAAGATGTAAAATTAAATATTACATCAAGAAAACTTCAACTGAAGTTGGGAGTAATTATTTAGGGAACTTATTTATAGGCATCCAAAAAATACAGCATAGTCATTGGAAGGAAAGTCCAAGATTACAAATTTTGGTCATTCCTTTGTGCTTGTGTTGTACATAGGCCTCACATGATGCTGCATCATCCTCATCTAGTTTTGCCAAGTCACCCTCACAGAGCCAAACTGTGGTTTAAGCTAAGCAGAGAGATGCAGCACAAAATGTTTCTTCAGTGATGACCACAAATGACAGGTGGGAAACACATCTACCTCTGTCCTTGCATACAGTCCACACACAAATATATCTAAAACACTTAAAACAATCAGGATGGAAGAAGTGAGTTCTTATCCCAATAAATAAAATACAGTGCCCAAGATGTAAAATTAAATATTACATCAAGAAACATTCAACTGAAATTGGGGTTTAATTATTTATAGACATCTAACAAAGATAGCATTATTACTGGAAGGAAAGGCCAAGATTGCAAATTTTTGTCATACTTCTGATTACAGAGCATGTAATAAGCATTGATCATGAATGTATCCAATCCTTCTTAAAGTGACTTAAGCAAGAGAACTTGATAGCAAAGAGTTCCATTAGCTACATACTGTGTGAAGTAGTTCTCTTGGGTTTTTTTCCCCTCCTTTCTGAATTAATTATTGTTTGCTGGAAAAAAAACCCACAGTTCTCCAGAAAACCCCATTTTTTCTCATCCCCCCCCCCCCATAACTTGGTAAGCTTCTTTCCCATCCTCCTGGGAACACCATTCCTAATTTAATTGAGAAGCAACAATCCGCAGATGACCTTCCGCTTTCAAACCTTACCAGCCAAGGCAAAAGATAGGAGAAAGCAGATTTATTAGGAATTTACCCCTTTCATGAATCCTTATTTTTCGTAATGCTATTTTCTAATAAAATCAGTGGGGTGAACTAGCTACATCTGCTCTCCACTGACAGAGCCGATGGGCTTGATCCTGGGGCCGCTGGAGGAATAAAGCAGCTCTGGTTGTCAAAGGCATCTTCCTATTCTTCTGTAATGCCACAGAACGGGGCTTCTCTGAAATGCTTTCAAGAGGCATATGCAATGCTTCCAGGCTGAATGTGCTTCCACTTCTGCTGACAGAGCCCCTGGACACTTATGGAGGAGCATCACTTCCTCATGGTTCCCCTGAAGCCAATAGGCTGGAGAACTAGAACCGTTCTGTCATTTTCGCTGAAAATTAGAAGCCCCACTAAAAGTCATAAAATCCTTTTAGTCTTCCCTTATAAAGAAGGTATTTCCAATCCCTTCATCTCCTCTCTCCAACACTGTATCAGAATTGTATTAACCAATGGCACTCTGGGAATGGGCAGCATAACGGCCCTCCTCAAGTAAACTAACACCTGAAGTCCATCACAGACAGTGGGCAAGGCTGTCCAATGCAGTGCATTACAAATGAGACATATTTATGAACCAAATTCACATGAACATGAGACACACATCTTTTAACCGTGGCAGACGGAAGTTTCAGAAAGGACGTGATTTTAGTCCCAGGCCCCCGTTATTGGTGGCTTGGGGTGGTTGTTTTGATACAATTTTCTGTCCACAACTGTTCACAAGTTCAGATGCTGCTTTGCTGTTCCTGCACATTTTAATTTTATTTTTTAAAAAGGAATCAACCCTTTCCTGCCCACAAATCCCCACCCACTTTCCATTTGCTTATCCTGAAGTCAGTTCCACAATTCAGTTTCATAATTTCTTGCGGCCAGTTTCACAATATCTAAAGAAAACGGCCTGATTTGATTTTCCTTGCATATTGACACAGCATGAGCATTCCTTTAGCCATATTCAACAGATGAAATGAATAGCACATTTCTGAAATGTGTTGTTTTCAGGAGCAGCAGTTGCCTGAAAGACCCACCATAAAAGCAGCTGGGGGAAAATGGACTTTTGAGGAAAATAGCATTCTATAATGGGTAGTTGTCTCCCTGACAGAGGCTCCTACATCTTCATGTGAATCCACCTTCAGTCAGAGGGTGCAATAGCGTGGCAAGAGCAGATGGGAACCCATGCTTATTAACTCTGAAGAAAGAGAGATTAGCTTAGACCTGGCAAACTATAGGAACCTATATGAATGTTTTCATGAAAGGAGGTCACTTTCTCAGGTACATCCATGGAGACAGTCGGGAGCAGTTTCTGAAGCAGCCTTGCAAAAGACAGAGCTCCTTCAATGATTCCAAGAGAGGGGCTTCATCTACTCTTGCACAATGCAAGACTCTTGCTAAAGCTTTGCACAGCCTATTGAAGCCACATCCCTTCAAAAATGTAATGCATGAAAGGAATTACATTCTTTTATTAACTAAAATAGACTCCAAATATCTGTTTATCACAAATAATATATGCAACTAGTTTGTTCACACAATCATACATCAACAGTCATAGGATTGTGTACAGATGCCCTTAATTCTTTAACTCTAGTTTGAAGGCAACACCACACAATATTTCCTCTATACTTATGTACCCTTCATATAGGGGAAACATGCTCAATATCATTTCTGAATCATGGCTTGATTGTCTGTTTAGATGTTGGGGGAAAAAAACTCAAAACAGAGACTGTTCCACTAGTTCAATGAGACTTTCCCCAGAATAAGTACTTATAGGCTTGCAACTCTTGTGAGGATAAATGAGAAACAGGTATCCATAGTTTGTAACAGGAACAAAAGGCTTTAACTCCCACATCTCCTGTGCTAGTATTTCTAAATATTACACTGCTTCCAGGTAGGGGAATGCATGTCAAGAAAATAGATCAGGTGTCCTTAAATATTGACTTAGAAGGAGGGGAAGTTCAGGATACTTTCCCATTTTTAATAAAGGTTGGGTTTCAGTGCTCTAAAAAACCCAACACTGTGCAGAATGGGGAACTTATATGTCCCAGAAGTAAAAACAGACATTTTGGACTGTAGTTTGTAACAAACCACAGCTCTAGGTCCAACCATGTTTTGTCATTATATCCGAACTGCAGCCAGTGACTATTTTTCCCACAGCCAATAGCAATTCCCCCACAAACTATGAGTTTACGAACTATGAATTTTTAGATCATGAAAACGTTTTATTTGGACCTACCCTTTGGGGGTAGTTTGCAGCAATGGATTTAGTTTTTTTAGGTGGTTAATTTCTTTAACAACAAAAGGCTGTTTATAGAGTTTGGCATTGCTGCCCATCATTTTTGATTAAAATACAATATAGTACAATACTATAAGCACTGTCTCCCCAAATACAGCCTCAGTAGCTCAGCAGCTTTTACTTGCAGAAGCACTCCAAACACCATTTGAGAGACAGGATGGCCAAAATGGAGTTTCCACCATTCATGGTAAAGGGGGGACCGTAGAACTCTCTAGACAAGGCACTCCAACAGCTTCCAGAAATAGCTCTCCCAAATTCCCGAGTTATTCCCTGGATCTTTATTATTTTTGCTGCAGTCACTTTAGACATGGCTGCGAAAGGGGCTGGGCCTGTCAGATGACTGAAATGATCTGCATGGCGGCTGTTGGGCAGAAAAGGGGGCAAAGAATTCAGCGGCAAAGGTGACCACATCATCGGGCTTGCGAAGGAGAAGCAGTTGCAAGAAATCTGCCAGCAAGGCACTGAGTTCTGGATGGCGACGCACATAGGTAGCATGGCTTGCTTGTAGCTCTTCCTGTTGAAAGGAAACCATCCCATTCTCTCTTTAGGACTTTAGCTCTTCAGTGGGCAGCAAAGGAGGGTCAAAACGAGATGCTCACCTATCCCCCACTCCCACAGTGCCATTCATGTATAAACTCTCCTACCCTAAGGGATGCATAGCCCCATTGTTCCAAAACTTCATGTGTTTTGATTACAAGCCATAATCCCTGATTGTCGGCCATGCTAACTATGGTAATACCAGCTGCAGTTCAAAACATCTCAGGAGCACCAGATTGCCTGTTACCTCCCTATCATCTTCAGCACAGGCATGAACATGGATGCTCCTGTCCATTTCTTCTGTTTCTATCCCACCAGCATTTTGGTCATAGCCACACCACTCTTCCAGTCCTATGATGCTTGCTAGGACTTTCCTCCAGCAATAGATTCTGCATCAACTGTAGATTTGTAACAATGGATGCCAACTTAAATTCATTTGAAATCAATGGGATTTGTAAGTCATGGCTTAGTCCCACTGATTTCATGAGAATGAAGTATAATTAACTTATTCTGGATTCAACTACTATAGCTCTTTAGTGCTACCTCCAAATCAAGGGAACATACCTTGACGTTCTTATTAGCTACAAGTTCCAGTCAACTCAGACTTTCATTTAGTAAGTAAGCCAATTGCAAAACAGATATCAATGTGCCCCCACCCCTTCACTGCTGGGCAAAACTCAGGAAGCATCATAGGGAAAAGACTCATTTATTCTCTCTTTCTCTCTGCTGTTATTCTCATCCTTACAGTATTTGCTTTTAAGTAAAAAAGTTGCAAAGTTTAATAATGAAGCGATTGTATCCTGTCACAGTGGAGAATATAAACTTCAGGTTTGAATTGTTGGGTTTTTGGTGTTTTCTGAGCTTATAGTGCTTTGGTTCCTGCAGACTTTCATAACTAATGCATGCAGGAGTAGAGATTGCTGGTTGTTTATACGTGGTAGATTGTCTTGAGGTATTGGTTCTTCCTTGATTGTTCTTGTTTATCTGGGTGTCGATTAATATGTGTGTGATGAGGGGGGATGTGTGTTTGCCTCTTTCTTTGACCCTTGGTTGCTTCCTTTCTTGAATGGTTCGCAGGTGATGCTTATCTTGATGTGTCTGCTAATGGCTGATTCATCAGAGCCATGCCTCTATAAGAATTATTGTACATTTTTGGATCTGGCTTTTTCTAAGATGTCTACAATTTCCCAATAGCAGTTGTGGTTTTTACAGTCCTTGTGCTGTATGTTGTAAATGACTCCTGCTTTGTCTTCTGTGGCTGTTGGGTCTTTGAGTTTGCTTAGGATGGTTTGGATAGATTTTGTTGGTTTATGGGCTACCATGATGCTGAGAGCTTGTAGTAATTTGCTGGTAGTTTCAGAGAGATTTTTGATATATAGTAGAGTTATCCTTTTCATAGGTTGTGCAGATTGTGTAATTGTTGATTGCATAGTTAGACACTGTTTGTTGAAGTTGCTTGGGTATCCATTGCACTGGAACATATATAAATAGTCTATTTCGGCTTTTGGGAGTTCTGGGTTATTGCAGAGTGTCACACTTCTGGAGTTCTTACCCAGCTTCTTTTGTGTGCCCCTGGGTAGTTGCTGTGACAGCTGAGTGTACTTGATCGGTGTGGGTTGTTTTGCAGCACATCAATAGCCAAAGACACAACTGGAGTCATTTACAGCATATAATTGGAAGTCTGTGGAAATTACTGTGTGGGGCAAAGAGGAACAAAAGAAATCAAAAGAAAATCAAAAGAATGCATCCACAAATATCAACTGGTAAGACATGATGAAAACTCCTTAATTTCACAATACATTAACAAGTTCAACCACAAATTCAGTTGGGAAACTTAGATATCTTAGACTAAGCAGATCTAAAAATTCAAGAGAATTCCTAGAGACATGACACTTTGACCAGTCAGCTATTAACAAACATATTGAGATAAGCTCCATCTACAAACCATTCAAGAAAGAAAGCAATCAAAAGTCAAGGAAAAAGGCTAACAGACATAAGCACATCCCTGTTCATCACACACCTATTAACTGACACCCAGATAAGAGAAATAAGCACCAGCTAAGCAAGAACAATCAAGGAAGAAACAATACTCTCTCTAGGTTGGTTAGATAAGCTACTACATATAAACAACCCACAAATACCATTCCTGTATGCACTGATGTTACCTAGCATAGTAATGAAATGTCTGCAGGAAGAGAAACAAGGTTCAAAGACACCAAGAAATCAAAGACTGTACGCTGCTCAGAGGTTTTATGTTATTGGATTATATAGAAGTAAAATAAGTTAATTATCCCATGATCTTAGAGGTCTGCCATATTATGAGCCATACTCCAGATGTTACCCTGTTCTTAATCCCTGAACAATTCACCTTTCTGTCTAAGAACTTGGAATATAATTCAGGATCCTCTTCCCAGTCTAAGAGGACTTTTTCAAAGATGGGACGAGGGTCTGGTTCATCTGGAAAAAGATGGAAACTGAATGAGAATCTTAGGAATGTGATATACATAGGCAGCAAAAAGCAGAATATATTGTACTAGAAATTTGAAGCTTTCTTGCTTTTAAAGAGAAGGTGTTCCTGTTGTTTTCCTGGGACAGATGATTCACTCCAGCAGTTGTCCATTTCAGCCAGCACAGAATGCCTCAGCCAGCAACAATCCCACCCCAATGCTGGCAATTATTCTGAACTGCATCACAGGGAGAATGCCTGTGAGAATATTACCTTTGTCAATCAAAATGGGCATCTTCAGGATCACCATGGTGGCCGGGGATCCAATTTGTACACGGCGAGATAAATGCCTGGGTGGAGGAGGAAAGAAGGAAAACAAACTAATTGGAGTTTCTGCATTTGCCTCTGGAACTGCAGGAAACAGGCAGTAGCCAATGGCACAGTTGGGCTAGTGATAGATTGTGATGTATTGATTTGCAATAGATCAAAATGATTTATGATTCCCAATTATTGATATCAGAAGCAATAAAAATAACTTCTTATGCTCTAAATTATACCACTGAAAAGAAGAAAGCTTGGGGTAACAAAGAAGGATGGAAAGTCCCTGGATGGGACAACAATAATATAGGACTTCAGTAACTTCACGATGAAATGTGGATGATTTCTTATTGGCATGCCATTGCTGCAAATGGGAATTCCCTCTGCTACAATATATTGAAGTCAGGTGGTGTCTAAATTAAATAAATCAAGTTAAATTCAGTCTCTAGTAGTTGATCAGCTGGCATATGTTTTTGGGTACTAGAGTTACAAGAATCTGAATCTTCCTTTTTATTTGTGTTATCCAGTTTGCCAAGACCTAAGTTACCAAGCAATGACTAACCCAGAGCTTGCTTATGAAGTTGCCAAACCCAGACACTTTATGACACAATACAATGTGTAACCCCCAAATGCTGCCTATACCATCCTATGCTCTGGAAGACAGAGAAAAGTGGTAGCTAGTGAATCTCTTGCTATATTCCTCCAATACACTTCCTCAGATTACTGAAATTATTGCTTTCTGACCATAAAACATGGAAATGGACAGTAGCTTTGTTGGAAGTATGAATTCAATGGCACTGACTCTTCAGCACCTCATGACCTGCTGACCACAAAAGGGCAGTGGGGTATAGATAGAGAGTTAAGGATTTACTATGTGTCCTTTCTCTATTACATTGCATGATCTTTCTCTAAGAAATTGCCAGTCTCAGGTCACTTCTTTCCATCTTTCTTATCAGGCACTTATGGTCTTTGACTCTCCTCCTAGTAGGATGTAGTTAGTTAGATGCTAGCCTTTGTCTATTCCTATAACATATTTCTGGTAAATAAAACTTATTTCTCTTATACAGTAGTTATAAAACCCGCTCCACTAAACATTATTCAGATCAGATTCCCACTCTCAGGAAAGCTGTTTCTCTCTCACACACAGAATGCTTCAATCTCCAACAAGGCAAAGGCCCAAAGGAGAAACAGCTAGGTGTAGCTATATTCTTTTCCCTTGAGGCCTCAAGAGGCATCAAGGTGCAGATATTGCCTGCTGGAAGAGTCATCAACTCATGCAAAGAATTACAGAAGATGTTATCTATTTAGGGCAGATACACAGTATTCAAAATCAACCTTTGGGTTGAAAACATCTAAAACTCTGCAACAGTAGACAAGCTGCGAATTCTCTGGATGCTGTCAGATTATAATTCTATTCTTCCCAACTATTGCCCATGTAAGCAGAGCCTGACTGAATGCAGAAAACATCTGGTGGGCCATAGGTTATCCCTGAAGCATTTAGAGAAATATTCTTTAAATACTTCTAAGATCAGTAAAAGGGAAGAAGGAGAGATTCAGTACAGATCTGCTCAGTGTGGGTGTCAGCAACCCTCCATGCTTTGGAACACCCTAGCCTTGGAGGTACAATTGGCACCCTCCCTATTAGCAGTCTGTAAGGTATTCTGTAAGGTAGTTAAGACCATCATGTTTGAATGGACATTTGGGGGTTGACACTGTAGGGTTATTTGATGACTGAGCAGCCAAGTGCTTGGTTGACTGTTTACATGTCTGATTTTGATGTTCAGCTTCTCTGGTTTTTAACTCTGTCAGCTGCTTAGAGTTATTTTGAGCTGGGTGGTATAAAAATATGTGCACTAGAAAAGATAAAATAAAAGGTTGCTATGCATTAACTCAAGCCATTTTAATGGAAAAATAGCTTGAGTTAGTTGATAATACTTGCAGTATTGTAAATGCTTCAAAGAAAGCCAAGCTGCAGCAGCAGGAGGCAGCAAGGGCCTTACCAACTAAGTGGCAATAGCAAAGCCCATAACTGAATATATAAAGGCAAAAAGTGATGACCTCACTACACGCAGGAAAAGTCTGAACAGGAATGATTATACCAGAGCTTCCTTACCCATCTGGTAGGAAGCAGAACTGCCAGTTCAGTGGGGGGACCTCCACAGAGTGTACAGTCCTTTCAATCACAAACACATTCACTTCCTCTTTTTTCACTTGCTGCTTCTGGAAGCCAAGGGTATTCTAGGAAGAGATTGAGGAATTGGCAGAAATGACACGGATAGATGCATAAGGATGGGTGTTGAGGCAACAATGTCTTAGTTGCTCCAGTGATTAGGTAGTTGATTTCAACATTTCATCTATATATTGCAGCTCAGTCTGGACATCTAGTAATCTCTCTTCCTTGGTTTAAATATTAGACATTCAGGACTTATTCTAGGTAAATGGAAAATCTGCATGGGGATATCTGGGCTTCATTTTTATCCACCAACATCAACGCTGGCTTTACACCTCTGCTCCCTGCCCTTTTATCCTCTGCCTCAACATATACTTCTTTTTTTCTTACCAATTATAAGAAAACACATAGGAAGAAATGGAATCAGGATGCCTGGATAAGTCAAAGAAATAGGGCAAGAGAGCTGTAAGAAACTGCTTTATAATGAGGGACCTGTAGGTCCATCTAACTTTCTATTGCCTAAGCTGATTGATGGTCATTTGATAGAGATTCAGGCAGGAGATTTTCCCAGCTTTTATCTGGAGATGCCAGGACTAACACTGGCACCTTTTATGGTCAAAACCCGTGCTCTACTACTGATCTATAGTCCTCTTCCAAGACAGAGTTCCCACTATATTGCTGGGTTCTGCAAGCATCAATTGCTCCCTTATAATGTGAGCTTACGTAGGTAGAGGTACAGATGTGCTGGTCAGAGTCAAATGAGAGGAAAATAGCATCTCGTGGCAAGGACTGCCTCCTGGCCATCACTCGCAGCACCAGGAAGTTGGCAGATTCTGAGATGAGGCCCTGAAGTTGTGCGCATCTGTAAGAAAATGTGTCGACGTGGATCTCTTCCTGGGGGAGAGAGAAAAGGCTAGACATCCTTTACAAAAGCCCAGAAAACAACCAGAACAGCAGGCTATCCTGAAGGAAAATGTTTGGGGCTTATGGAAGGCACACTCAAAGGACAAGACAAAGCTACCCATTTTTTTGGCAAGATTGAGGAAGAGGAGGATGGGGTCATAATGCTCCTTCTTCTTCACACATACTGGTTAAGACTAGGAGTTTCAGAGTCCTCAGTTCTGATAAAAGCAATCTATTGATGAGATGGCATTAAATTTATATGCTCCCTTCCAAACATATCATGCTTACCCCAAACCTTCAAATTAGTTTCAAGATGGCTTGCAGTCATTCTCCCCCATCCCATCCCAACCTCAGAAAATAAAAAATGCCCTACAGGACAATCAATGTTTCCTTCAGCTGACCAAGTGGACAGTGGAAAGAATGACATCCGAGCAGGACTCTCCCACCGTCACGCCATTTCTTTGGACACTGGGTGCTTATCTCAGAAGGCCAAGAAAGCACCAAGCATAACCTGGCCACCAGCATTAGGTTTGTGCCATATGAGCTTTCCATGCATTCTTTTAATGCAAAGGATCCTTTAAAAACCTGAAATGGGATAGGGCAGCAAGCTTGCAAGCCCCAAGAATGGTGTCAACGGGCATATATTTGCTCCAGGCCCCTCTGAGGACATATGCTAGATAGATGCTACAGCAGGATGTGATCTGAAGACAGACCATTCATCAAACTTGGCAGTTTTGGGGATAGTCACCTTGGATGAAGATAGCCTAGCTGGGATACTAGTGATATTGTCTTGAGGGTACCATCACAGAACACAAGAGTTGGAAGGGATCCTAGAGATGATTTTTACACTGCTATTTGTCACTGTACTCAGGAGACAAAGTGCTTTTGTGGTCAGCAGACCAAAGTTTCTCCACCTGTGCCACAACATTAAGTTCTATGCGACAGTTAAATGACAAGATCAACTAGAATAGCTTTCCCTAATCTATCTTCATATGGTTAATTAGTTGCAATATATCAAGTTTCTTAATAACAGTTAGGCAGGTTTTAAAGGCTGGCAAAACTCTCACAGATGCTTGGAGTCTCCACCCTTGCTGGATGGATGTTGAGATCCTGATATAACTGAAGGGTGCTAGTCTGAAGGAAGCTGGATTAGTCCCTATTTTGCACTTGCTGGGATGCTAGAGACATTACAACTAATTAATTCTTGTGAACTGTGTGGAAGAGGGAATTGGGATAGGTATTCCAGGTTCTTTAGGCACAGCTCACTTTACTCACATCTCTTTCCACTACGGTTTTGGTCACACAAAGCTGGCCATGCTGCTTCACCACTTGGGTCCTGGTTTCCACTGGATGATCTCTGAACTGCAGGAAAAACAAAAAGCAGCAGGGAAAGGTGACATAGCAATGCCACCTAATTATGCAGGATCCTGGACAGATGGAAGCTTCACAACTAGTTGAGGCTTGAGATAGCTTTCCCCTGTGATCTTCCTGAAAGCTTTCTTACTTGTTATATCCTGTCCTTCCTCCGGGAGCTCAAGGTGGCACAGCATAGCACAGCACTCCTTCCTCCTGTTTTCTCCCAGACCATGAGAATAGCCTTTGACAGGCCAGTTGTCCATGAATGTATCAAATCCCCCTTTAAAGCCATTCAAGTTGGTGGTCATTATTATGTCTTTTGATAATGACTTCATTATGTGCTATAGAAGGAAAGGTTTTAATACTTCTAATTTACTTCATTAGATGTCTGATTTTATTGTTCTAAGAGAAGCTTTTTCTAGTACACTTTTTCCATGTCATGCATTATATATTTTTTTAACTACCCAGCAAACCATATAGGATAAGTCTTCTTTTTCCATGATTGCTCTGTTTATTCAACAAACTGTGATGAGGAACTTTTGTGAAAGGTTTTCTGAAAATGTTGATTGAGTTATCTCCATCCATGTGCCTGCTGACACTCTAAAAAAACTCTAAGGGTTAATGATGGACTTCCCTCTGCAAAACTCTTAATTTTTTACTGCCAGCAAATGGCCATCTGGAGTTTTGCAACCCAGATCTGGTGGCCCTCCTCTTATTCCTTGTACTTCAACACAAGACAGAGGTGGAAGGAATTTGGACTCATCCTCAGATTCATCTACCTGTGGTATGAAGATGTCTTGCTAATTATTCATCAGGGACATATCCTTGTGGCACTGCCTTTGTCTCATCCCTAGTCAGCTTATATTTGTCTTGAGCTATTCCAGTTTAAACATAGTGTTTCTCTTCTTCTCCCAACACAATTTCTGTCATGGATACAATCTGGCATGCTCTTTCGATAATCTGGTTGATGATGTAGTCAGGAGTTGGTTCCTGCCACTGCCCACTTTACAGTGCTGACAGCATGACCCCCTCCCCTCTGGCCACTGCCCTTCATAACCATTTTGACTAGGGCTGTAATAGAAACCAGGCATCTGCCCCCATAATGCCTGAAACTTTCTGAAGCACTTCTCAAAAGTGGGGTCCTTCTAAGCCCAAGTTTATCACTCTTTTGAGAGTGACCAGTCTTTTAAAAAAAAGGCAAACCAAAAGCCAGGACCAGAACTCTCTTGAGCGTGCATGCGCCTATGTATTAGCAAAGCAGGGAGGCTGACCAAAGCACCATTGTCTAGACCGGTGGAAGAGAGAACACTGTTTGCAGCCAACCTCAATCCCTTGATCATTTGCTCAAATAAACTAGAGACAAACTTGTACAACCCATGCCTTCCTCCTATAATTGATTAGTATTGTGCTCTCTTGCTTCTGTTTTTTCCCTCTTTTTCTTAAAAGCTGCCTGCATTTTTTGCCACTGAAATTTACTAGGTAGCTCTCCCCCCACCCCCTCCAATGATCCTTCTCATTTCACTTTGCAACTCCTCCTCCCACCTGCCAGCTTGTTTGTGGACTTTTAAACACAGGGGGGTTTTTTTGCACATTTTAGCACTTTGGGGGAGTGGAATCTGGGGGAGGCTGCTGCATATGTTCCAGCACTACCAGGCTCCCTGCTGGCTGATGAAGCTAGCAGTGGGGGGAAAGCAAAACACATAAGACACTCACCCTCACACTTTCCTGAGTGTGCTGCTCCAAAATCTCCAGTTTCTTTGTTACATATCCTGATACAAAAAGGGAATTTGTAAGAAATCAAAGCAACAATACAACTGTTTACTTCCTTTCATGCAGCTTTCCCCAATTTAGTACTCCCCAAATATGTGGAATTATGACTCCAAATGGCCACATTGGACCAGATAATGGGAATTTTAGTCTGGAGAGTATTAAGTTAGAGAAAACTGTTCTGGGATACCTTGGCATGTTGGTGCTGCGTGCAAATTTCTTATAACCTTTGGAAATGTTTCATTTTTCACCAGGGGATTATGAGTCTCTCTGCAGTCTTCTGTTCTGGTGTGAACCACTTGTAGTAACAGCTTAACCAACCCAGCCTTACAAAGTTTCTCAAAACACTAGCCTTGCACTCTTGCTTTTATTTACATTGGTAAAAGTATCATTTATATAGTTGCCTAAAGATAAGAAATGACTAGTTTGGAACAGCTACATCAGCAAAGAATTGCTGATAAAGTCGTTTCAGATGTAGATGTACCTGTAATTGCCCAAATAATAGTTTTGGGGTTTTTATTTATTTAGAGAATGTAACTGCAATAATAAAAATGTTTTAAGCACATTCTGCTATTAGAAAGGAATGGGAAATAATTAAAGAGCTGATAGTCAGAAGAAGGAGCAACACATCACACAAAATACATAGACCACTAATGAGTGCAATTCTAAACTTACTTTTTTTACTACAACAGTAAGTCTCATGAAAATTAGTACTAACAGCTTCCAGTATAACAGCTTCCAGTATCTATTTAACAGACACCACTCTACTTAGTTTTTATTTCTATTGTACAATGTATTATCTATATTCTATAATAAAACAATTAATTTGGAAAAAAATACAAAGACAATTTAATGGGACTTATTTCTAAATAAATCTGGTAGGATCCAGCCAATTAGGACAGGAATTAAAATGTTTTAATGGAAATAGTGAAATATTAAATGCATAACTAGTGCAGTAGGTCAAGTTTTCTGCTCACTGCAGAAGACCTATGTTCCAGAAGCATGAAGGAGCCCTAAGTGGAAGCAAACTTAGATCAAATATTGGGATCAGAGTAAGGGAGAAGAGCATCAAATTGAATAGGTTGGTATGCTTGAGTATTATTTCCTAATTCTAACTGCCATCATTACACCTACAGTTTTGAAGTTCCCATGTCACCCATTTTAAAAATGGAAGGCTGAATTTAGGCATAGAAATTTGTCTCATCTTTCTCTTCTATCATCCTCATCATGCTGGTTTGTGTGTGTGTGTGTGTGTGTGTGCCTTTGAGTCATGTTGATTCCTGGTGACTGCCTGAACCAGTCTCTGCAGTTTTCTTGGCAAGATTTCAGAAGTGGTTTGCCATTGGCTCCTTTCTAGGGTTGAGAAAGAGTGACTGGCCCAAGGTCACCCAGCTGGCTTTGTGCCTAAGGCAGGACTCACAGTCTTCCAGTTTCTAGCCCAGTGCCTTATCCACTACACCAGACTGGCTTATCCTGAATTACTGCACTGAATTTACCTGTAAGGGAGGTTTTGCAAGGTACCCCATCAATGGTCCCTTTGCTATTTGCATGGACCAGGAAACAGTCTTCCTCTTGCCAGTCATCCAGCGAATAGCAGGCCCACTTCACCGAGATGTCAAACGTCCCTATAGTCTCTCCAGTCTCTGAAATAGTCACCAGTGATTCTTCAAAAAGGCAGGGTTGAATCTCTTTTATTTCTGAGAAACGAGATATAGGAATTTCATCCTCAGGAAGACAGGGAGAAAATGTTACCCACTCGCTGTCAGATGGACAAACCTTAATATAATAAACTGGGATGACCCAGTTGAGTTAGAGCCTCCCTTTACTGCTTTCTTGTCCTAGTTTCATCCCCAATTTGCTCATGCAGGATATCCCTGTGTGAAAGCAAATTGGGGCAAAAAGAGAATGTAGCTCATTTTTTACTTCCCTCCTCTATGTCTACAGATCAGATGAGGACTAACTTCAAATAACCCTCCCTTCTCAGAACTCAGGGAACTGTGATTCAAATAACAACTATCCATTAAAACTGTGCTTAAGGCATATTAAGTCTGCTTAGTGTCATGCAAACCCAGTCAAACATCTGCCCATCTTTTGTGGAACTGGACAGCACATAAAGTATATAAGTTATGTAAATAATTTAAGTCTCTCATCTTTCAACCAGCATTTGGACCACAAAATAGCTCACAAAAGCTCTCATTCGGGACAGTGTATCTTCAACAGGCTTCTTTTCTGTTGAAAGCCAGAGTAGGCTCAAGGAGCCTATGAAAAAAGGGAATTGATTAGGTAAAGCATGGATTGATGCCAAAACACAACTTTGGAAAACTATGAAATGTCACTGCAATTAAAAACAACAATCTGGGTTGAGAAGAGAAGAGGAATTTGAATATGCCTGGAGTGGCTGTTGGCTGTGAGGGTCTGGATGGGGAAGAACCAACTCAACCCTGGCAAGATGGAGTGGTTTTGGTTTTTGCCCCCCTTCCCCCAGGGTCTGGTGATATGCCATCTTTGACTCTGGATGGGGTGGCGCTCCCCCAGACAGCGCTAGTGTGCAATTTGGGGGTCCTCCAAGACTCACAGCTACTGCTCAATGAACAGGTGGCAGCCATGGCTGGGATGGGCCTTCTCATATTCATCTTGTGCATCAATTGTGCCCTTTCCTAGACCGGGAGGCCTTGCTCACAGTCACTCATGCCTTGGTCACTTCCTGTTTGGATTACTGTAGTGAGCTCTACATGGGGCTGCTCTTGAAGACCACCCAGAAGTTACAACTGGTCCAGAATGCAGCGATGTCCACAGTGTTGGGTACTGTTGGGCGCCTCTAGGTACACCCCTACTGTGCAAGCTACACTGGTTCTCAGTTCCCTTCTGGGTGCAATTCAAGGTGTTGGTTATCATCTTTAGAACCCTATATGGCATGGGACCAGATTATCTGTGGGACTGCCTGTCCCTGAGGATATCTGCCTGTCCCACCAGAATTGATAGAGTAGGCATGCTCCAGGTCCCTTCCCTTAAGCATTGTCAGCTTGTGGGTCCTCGGAAGCATGCTTTTTCCATTGCAGCTCCTGCCTTATGGAACACCCTCCCCCTGGAGATCTGACAGTTCCCCCCTCCCCTTTCAATCTTCTAGAGAGCACTGAAGACCTAGCTGTTCCCACAAGCGCTGGGATGGGGGTGAGGTCATAGGAAGAATATGCGGTTGTGGCGCCAGATTCTTCTGTTTTTCCTTTTTTGGTTTTATTGTATATATGTTTTTTATTGTTGAGTGTAAGCCATCCAGAGTTTGGTTTTAAGATGGGCAGTTATACAAATGTATTAAATAAAAATAATTAATTAATTAATGTGGATTGGCAGTTGGAGACCGAAATGTTAACGTGGATCGATGCATGACCGTGCTGATTGAAAACATTCCTTAGCAGTTTGGAATGGAGGGCCAAAGTACACTAGCTTGATCCCAAAGACGTCATGGCTTAATAGAAGTCTGGATGTAAGAATTCCATACTGGAACTACAGTTGGGGAGGGAAGATTAATACTCCTCTTCATGTGTATTTTGGTCCTGATACAAATCTCCCACTTTGTTGCATCTACTATGATTTTGAAAACCAGGTTTTATAGTGCTGCATTCTGGGCATCCTTCTCTAGCCTAACATCCTTCAGCTGTGTTAGGATTAGAACTAGAGGCCAGTACAGTCAACTCCCACTGTGGTTAAGAGTTCTGGGAACTGTAGTCCCAACAGAATTAGAAGGTGTCCGGTGGAGAAAAGCTGGTCTAGCATCACATCTACTTTTCTCCAAGATACTTATTTTGTAAAATTCAGTATGGCAAATATTCATGCCAACTCTAGCTTTTGCTGAAAAGACAATTCTGAAATAAACACAAACAAGAGTACATGCCCTATGTTAAAAGGCCACTCACCAATGAGTGAAAGGAAGTCCACTGCCTCCTTGCTGGCAATTGGAATTCTTTCTATTAGTTTATCTTCTGTTGCTCCTTTCAATGTCTTTTTTTGCATGGTGGAGAAATGAGAGTTCTAAAAAGAGGAGGTGGATTTTGTAAGCAGTGGCAGATTGTAATAGCAATGCTCTTTACTAAGCAATATCAACAGCAGTATCCTAACTTTGTGGCTGCAATTGTAGCTATATGCTATGTGAGGCAAGTGGCATAATTCAGTTTATCCTATTCCTGCACACAGAAATCCTTTTATAAAAGGTTATTACTGCTATTGAGAAGCGTAGGGGCTTACATCATGAAGGCAGGGGTAACTGAGGCTGCATGAATACACCTTTATCTGGAAACAAGATGCTGTGGATTGGATTGTACTGTGAAATGACACAGAATTTTGTTTCATACAGTCTTATCTTTGATCTTTCCCACATCTTTTGCACAAGGTTGCCATATCCCAGCAATCCAAATCCAGACAAATGTGTGCATCATGTCATTAGTTTTGTGGCTGTACATTTGAGATAAAATTCTTGGCCAAATGTGCATCCTGAAATATCATACTCTGTGTGTGTATGTGTATATATACATACAAACACAGACACACACACACAAGCACACATGCCCTACAGTCCCAGTCACCAATCAAATAAAATGAATACCAGAAAAGTACCTGACAGAGTTAGTTAGTGGGTGGTTAGGTAGGTAGGTAGACAGACGGTCGAGATTTGGCATCAGTTGGGCAGAGTGATAACAAAGAATAGAAAAACACAAGGCAGAATATATGTACTTTCCCCCTTTTGTCTACTTCCCCCTCCCCCCACCTCCCAAAATCTAACAATTATGGACATCCAGATAGTGTGTGCATGTGTGAGAGAGGGAGCCTTTGAGTCAGTGTTGACTCCTGGTGACTGCCTGGACTAGTCCCTGCAGTTTTCTGGGCAACAATTTTGGAAGGGGTTTACCACTGCCTTTTCCTAGGGCGGAGAGAAAGTGACTGGCCCAAGGTCACCCAGCTGGCTTCGTACCTAAGGCAGAAGTAGAACTCACAGTCTCACCGTCTCTAGCCTGGTAGCTTAACAACTACACCAAACTGGCTCTCCAATCTAGATGGGATAAATCCCAAATACTGTAGGCCTAAATCCAGAAATTCAGGAAAAGTAACACTATTCACACAATTTTTATCGCGTTACATGATGAATTAATGTTACACTTTTCTTGTACCTTCATGTAAGATTTTGGCAGGCTCCTCTATGAAAATGTAAGAATGCTCAATATATCCACATTACAAATTTTAAGAGGCATTGCCTCTCCACAGAGTATTCTGGAAATGTTATGGAAGGGAAGGCTTTCTTACAAAATTCTCAAAAAGCTACCATTCTCAGCATTCTTTGGAGAAATTTTAAACTGGCAGTTAAGCTGGCCTAAAACCCCAATGATGGTCTTGTATCTTTAGTCTTCCTTGATATCTCCTACTTTTTTCTGCATCTTAGAGGGACCAGATTTGGTCATGATTCTCCACAAAGAACTCTGGAGAAAATATTATGATAGATGAGTTTCTATAGATAGAATTGAGATTCTGGAAAAATCGAAAGAGCCCCGTGAAATGCACAAAGTTAGACTAGACTCTTAGCAAACACAAAATGTAAACCCAGACAAAGAACAAACAGGCCAATTGAGAGATGCAGTGTCATAGCCAAGGCCAAAAAAAAAAAAAGAGAAAAAGGTAGAAGAATAAGGAAAGTCTGAAATAGAGACAGTTTATGGTTCAGGATAGTCAATATGACACAGAGGCAAGGAAAGTACAAATTAATCAAGCAACCCATCCCGTCAACCTGCATAGAAAACGAGCCAGACCTGGGTCCAGTCCGGAGAAGATTCTAGGAGTGAAGTGGACCCAGTGAGAAGAAATAAGAAACTGCAATTACTTTGAAATTGGTGGAAATGGAGATTCCTGGTGGACAATCTTTTTGGTATGCTGCCCAGAGTCACCTGTGGTGAGATGAGTGGCTATATAAATTGATTAAATAAGTAAATAAGTAAGTAAGTAAGTAAGTAAGTAAGTAAGTAAGTAAATAAATAAATAAATAAATAAATCTCCCTGTGCCCTAAGTAGAGACTTAAGGGTTAACATTAATCAGAAATTGTTTGATAACATCTAGTGAATCCCAATGTGATAATAGGTTTAACAATGAACACGTGAATTCAGGAATGCAGAGAGAATGATTGCAAAACCCAGATGTTTCCTGCCCCATGTATCCCCTCTCAGTTCTTACTCTCACCTATTACGCCCAACGACAGCCATCCTGCCGTGATGGGCGACCACGTAAATCCTTTAAATACATAAATAAATCCCAATTATTTACAACCCACCACGTCTCTTCCCAAAAAGGGAATGAGCCTTGAAAAGAATGATGAAAAACTAGCAGGAGATCAGCTTCTCTAACCTGTGTTTTCTTTCCTTTTACAATGACTTGCAATGCATGCACTGGTTTCTATAGCAACAGACTCCTCCCTCCCTCCCTCTCTCTCTCTCTCTCTCTCTCTCCCCTTAAAGAAACAGAACTTTGTCAAGAGTTGACGGTATTGACCATACTTTTTCACAAAAGGGTAGAATAAAAACTAAAGATTACTATTCTCTGAGAACAGGAATAATGATCTTGGCAATGCACACTTCTGAGAATACCAACATTGTATATTTCTTTTTCCTACTTTGTTTTAATTCTGCAGCACAATCGAGACATGTCTCTGCAAGTAGTTCTTTGCCCAATTCTCAAAAGATCTAATTCAGTAACAATAACATGGGAAAGAATAGCATCTTGGATGCAAGGAAAAAACCTGGCTGACCTTGCTTTATGTATGAAGCAAAATGCAAACAAAACCAAATAATTTTTTAAAGAAGAAATTAGGGGCACGGATGCAGCTATTGTAATACTTATAGGTTGGATTCAGAAATTACAGTGAACCATGGTTTAACTGTAGTTTACTAAATAATCTACTATTGGCTGAGTTCACACTCTGCATTAACCCAAAGCCAAACAAACCACATAATGGCTTAGCATGAGATGTAGTACTTAATATTAATATTTAGTATTCTTATTAGGTATGTGCTCATATTTAAGTGTAGCACAAGACCTAATGTTTAGAGATGCTAACTCAGCCATGTTTTCTCTCTTCTCATCTGATTCCAGAGAAGATTGTTACTAATCATCAGCACTTTGAGGCCTCATTATATTAAGCTATGATTTATTTTAATAATGGCTTGTTGAATAAACTAGAAGGATATATCCTAAGCCAAACTAAAATACTAATAGAGGTAAATATGAAACTAAAATGTCTGCATTCATACAACATGCTACAAACAAACTACAGCATTCTTTAACTACAGTATTTTATTTATAGTATGTATGTATGTATATAATAAAGCCACTGTCCTGGACAAAACCCTGAGCATCCAGGCGTACATCAGTAAGATGGCACCCAAAGATGAGCTGCTGAGAGAATGCCTGAGGCAGCAGCAGACAAGGCAGGAGGTTCAAGCAGAGGAAGTGCCATGGGAAGACAAGACCCTGCATGGGATGTACCATTGACAGATAGCTGAGGTGGCTGACCTTGGGAAATCCAACCAGTGGCTGGAAAGGGCTGGGCTAAAAGACAGCACTGAGGCACTGAT